ATGATATTAATTCTTCCTAGCCAAGCATGGAATGACTTTCCATTTGTTAGTGTCTTCTTTAATTTCTCTCATAACTGTCTTGTAGCTTTCAGAGTATAAGTCTTTCAATTCCTTCATTAGGTTTATTCCTAGGTATTTTATTCTTTTTGATGCAATTGTTCATGGAATTGTTTTCCTGATTTTTCTGTCTGCTAGTTCATCATCATTGTAAAAGAATACAGCAGATTTCTGTGCATTAATTTTATATCCCATACTTTACTGAATTCAGATACAAGAACTAGTAGTTTTGGAGTAGATTCTTCAGGGTTTTCAATGTAGAATATCATGTTATATGCAAACAGGAACAGGTTGACCTTCTCCTTGCCAATGTGGATGCCTTTTTATTTCTTTGTGTTGTCTGATTGCCATGGCTCGGACCTCCAGAACTATGTTGAATAAAAGTGGGGAGACGGCTTCCTTGTCTTCTTCCTGATCTTAAAGGAAAAGCTTTCAGCTTCTCACTTGTAAATATAATGTTGGCTGAGTCTTTGTCATATATGGCCTTTATTATGTTGAGGTACTTGCCCTCTTTACCCATTTTGTTGAGTTTTTATCATGAATGGATGTTGAATTTTGGCGAATGCGTTTTCAGCGTCTATGGAGATGATCATGTGGTTTTTATCCTTCTTGTTGATGTGGTGGTCGATGTTGATGGATTTTCTAACGTACCATCCTTGCATTCCTGGGATGAATCCCACTTGATCATGATGGATGATCTTTTTGATGTATTTTTTAATTCGGTTTTGCTAATATTTTGTTGAGTATTTTTGCATCTATGTTAATCAGGTATATTGGTCTGTAATTTCTTTATTTGTGGTGTCTTTGCCTGGTTTTGGTAATAAAGTGATGTTGGCCTCGAGGAATGAATTTGGGAGTAGTCCCTCTTCTTGTACTTTTTGGAAAATTTTAAAGATGGTGAGTATTCGGTCTTCACTAAATGTTTGATAAAATTCATCAGTGAAACCATCTGGTACAGGTGTTTTGTTGTTAGGTCATTTTTTGACTACCATTTCAGTCTCTTTGCTGGTAATTGTTCTATTCAGATTTTCTGTTTCTTCCTGTGTCAGTCTTTGAAGGTTTATTTTTGTAGAAAGTTGTCCATTCCTTCTAGGTTATTCAGTTTGTTACCGTATACTTTTTCATAGTATTCTGTCATATTTCTTTGTATTTCTGTGTTGTCCATCGTGATTTTTCCTTTCTCATTTCTGATTCTGTTTATATGTGTAGACTCTCTTTTTTTCTTGATAAGTCTGGTGAGGGGTTTATCTATTTTGTTTATTTTTTTTAAGAACCAGCTCCTGCTTTCATTGATTCTCTATTGTTTTATTCTTCCAGATTTTATTTGTTTCTGCTTTCATCTTTATTATGTCCATCTTTCTACTGACTTTGGCCCTCATTTCTTTTTCCTTTTCTAGTTTCATTACTTGTGAGTTTAGACTGTTCATTTGAGATTGTTCTTTCTTGAGGTGGGCCTGTATTGTAATATATTTCCCTCTTAGCACAGCCTTTAATGCGTCCCACAGATTTTCTGGTGTGGAATGATTGTTGTCTTTTGTCTCCATTTGTTGCTTGATCTGTGTATTTATTTGGTCATTGATCCATTGATTACTTAGGAGCATGGTATCAAGCTTCCATGTGTTTATGGGCTTTTTTGTGTTCCTTGTGTAATTTATTTGTAGTCTCATACCTTTGTGATCTGAGAAGCTGGTTGGTGCCATTTCAATCTTTTTAAATTTACTGAAGTTCCTTTTGTGGTCTAGTATATGATCTATTCTTGAAAATGTTCCATATACACTTGAGAAGAATGTGTGTCCTATGGCTTTTGGATGGAGTGTTCTGTAGATGTCCATTAGGTCTATCTGTTCTAATACATTTTTCAGTGCCTCTGTCTCTTTACTTATTTTCTGCCTGGTTGATCTGTCCTTTGGAGTGAGTGGTGTTTTGAATTTTCCTAAAATGAATGCATTGTATTCTATTTCCCCCTTTAGTTCTGTTATTATTTGTTCCATATATGTAGGTGATCCTGTGTTGGGTACACAGATATTTATAATAGTTATATCCTCTTATTGGACTGACCCTTTTATCATTATGTAATGTCCTTCTTTGTCTCTTGTTATTGTCTTTGTTTTGAAGTCTATTTTGTGTGATACAAGTACTGCAGCTCCTCTTTTTTTACTCCCAATTAGTTGCATGACATATCTTTTACCATCCCTTTACTTTCAATACTGTGTATGTCTTTGGGTTTGAAGTGAGTCTCTTGTAGCAGCATATAGATGGGTCTTTTTTTTAATTTTTAAATTTTGATATCATTAATGTACAATTACTTGAAGAACATTATGCTTACTAGACTGTCCCATTATCATGTCCTCACATGCCCCATTACAGTCAGTGTCCCACACCATAGTAAGATGCTGTAGAATCACTACTTGTCTTCTGTGTATATGCTGCCTTTCCCATGTCCCCCCCTACATTATGTGTGCTAATCATAATGCCCCATTTTCCCCCTTATCTCACCCTTCCCACCCACCCTCCCCAGTTCCTTTCCCTTCGGTAACTTTGGTTCTGTGAGTCTGCTGCTGTTTTGCTCCTTTAGTTCTTATTTTGTTATACTCCACAGATAAGTGAAATCATGTGATACTTGTCTTTCTCTGCCCGGCTTATTTCAGTGAGCATAATGCCACAGTAATCAAGACACTTTGGTATTGGCACAAGAAGAGACCCAGAGACCAATGGAACAGACTAGAGAGCCCTGATATAAACCCAACCATATATGGTCAATTAATGTACGATAGAGTGATTATCTATATGTACCATAATGTTCAATGGGGAAATGACAGCCTCTTCAACAGCTGGTGTTGGCAAAACTGGACAGCTACATGCAAGAGAATGAAACTGGATTATTGTCTAACTCTGTATGCAAAGTGAACTCAAAATGGATCAAAGACCTGAATGTAAGTCATGAAACCACAAAACTCTTGGAAGAAAACATAGGCAAAAATCTGGTGGACATAAACATGAGCAAGTTCCTCATGAACATATCTCCCTAGTAATTGAAACAAAAGCAAAAATGAACAAGTGGGACTGTATCAATCTAAAAAGCTTTTGTGTAGCAAAGGATACCATCAGTAGAACAAAAAGACATCCTACAGTATGAGAGAATATATTCATAAATGGCATATCTGATAAAGGGTTGACATCCAAATCATATAAAGACCTCATACACCTCAACAAACACAAAGCAAATAAGCCAATTAAAAAATGGGCATAGGAGCTGAACAGACACTTCTCCAAAGATGAAAATCAGATGGCCAACAGGCACGTGAAAAGATTATCCACATCGCTAATCATCAGGGAAATGCAAATTAAAACCACAATGAGATATTACCTCACACCAGTTAGGATGACCAACATCCAAAAGACAGACAACAACAAATGTTGGTAAGGATTTGGAGAAAGGGGAACCCCCTCCTACACTGCTAGTGGGAATATAAACTGAGTCTTGTTTTTTTATCCATCAGTGACTGCATGTCTTTTGGTTGGTGCAGTCAGATCATTTACATTTAGGGTGATTATCGACATGTATGTACTCGTTTGCATTACTGGCTTTAGACTTATGGTTACCAAAGGTCAAGGGTCATTCCCTTACTATCTTACAGTCTGACTTAACTCACTTTGCTATAACAAACACAACGTAAAGCTTTTCTTCTTTTTCCTCATTTTTCTTCCTCCTCCATTCTTTGTATGTTGTGAATCATATTCTATACTCTTTGTCTATCTCTTGGGTGACATCTGTTTAGCCTTAGGAATACTTCTGTCTTTAGGAGTCCCTCCACAATGCGTGGAGGTGGTTTGTGGGAGGTAAATTCTCTCAGCTTTTGCTTATCTGAAAATTGTTTAATCCCTCATTCAAATTTAAATGATAATCTTTCTGGGTAGAGCATTCTGATTCAAGGCCCTTCTGCTTCATTGCATTAAATATATCATACCACTCCCTTCTGGCCGGTAAGGTTTCTGTTGAGAGAAATCTGATGATAGCCTGATGGGTTTTCCTTTGTATGTGATCTTTTTTCTCTCTCTAGCTCCTTTTAAAAGTCTATCTTTATCCTTGATCTTTGACATTTTAATTATTATATGTCTTGATGTTGTCTTATTTGGGTCCCTTGTGTTGGGAGATCTGTGCACCTCCATGGCTTGTGAGTCTATCTCCTTCCTCGGATTGGGGAAGTTTTCAACAATTACCTCCTCAATGACACTTTCTATCCCCTTTTCTTTCTCTTCTTCTGGTACCCATGTAGTGCAAATATTGTTCCTTTTGGATTGGTCCCACAGGTCTCTCAATATTCTTTCATTCTTGGAGATTCTTTTTTCTCTCTGTGCCTCAGCTTCTTTGTATTTTGCTTCTCTAATTTATGTTACATTTACTGTCTCTTCTACTACATCTAATCTGCTTTTAAATCCCTCAATTGTATGTTTCTTTTTAGATATGGAATTTCTTAATGATTGAATCTCTGTCTTAAATTTGTTCCTGAGTTCTTGAATATTTTTCTATACCTTCATAAGCATGTTTATGATTTTTATTTTGAACTCTGTTTCAGGAACATTGGTGAGTTCAGTTTCATTTGGCCCTTTTTCTGGGGTTTGTGAGATTTTAGTCAGCACCAGGTTCTTTTGACTTTTCATATTTCCAAGTGGTGCCCTCTAGTGCCCAGAAGATCCAGTCTCTGGAGCTGCTCAGCCCCTAGACTGAGGTTGGGGTTCATAGGGGAGTGGAACTGGTGCCTGGGGGGAGGAAAGATCTGTTTCCTGATTCCTGTCTGCAGTGCCTGTCTCCAGTATCAGAGTCAGTGTTCCGAGCACACAGGTATAAGCCTCTGTGCTTTGTGTCTCTAGCTGTTGTAGGTGGGGCCTCCCTCTGGCTGGCCTGATGCCAGCACAGTGACTGCCAGTTTGCAATCTGGTGCCAGCAGGCCAGGAGGAATGCTCGGCAGGCTGTGTGTCACAGTGGGGAGCCTCAGAACTGAGCCGCCAGCCAGGGGTCTGGAGCACCTGAAGTGCCTTAAAATTCTGAGCCTGCTGGACAGAACATGCTCAGACAACCTTGTCCAGCTCTCCCTTATCCCACGCAGCAAGCTCCGTGCAAACCCTGTGCCTTCAGCAGCCCTATCACTGCTAGGAAGCCTCTGAGACCACCTGCCTTTCCTCTGACACACAGTGTCTGGATGTGGATCCTCTCCTCCACAAATGACCAGAATCTCAGTCTCTCAAGCACTCCACCTGTCCCAGCTCCCCATCCTCCAGATCACCACACAGTGTAGGTTTCTGCTTGCAAAGCAGACCTCCAGGGCTGGGTGTTCAGCAGTCCCAGGCTTCCACCCCGCTCCCCGCTCTGTTTCTCTTCCTCCTGCTGGTGAGCTGGGGTAGGGGAAGGGCTTGGGTCCTGCTGGATTAAGTCTTTGGTACATTACCCTGTTTCATGAGGTCTGCTCTGCTCATGAGGTCTGTATGCAGTCTGGTTCAGCCTTCTTTCCTGTTGCTGTTTTAGGGTAAGTTGTATTAATTAATCATATATTCATACTATTTTTAGTTTTGTGAGTTCTGTTATCTGTCTCACCTCTCACGCCGTCATGTTGAATACCCCATGTATTCTTTACCCAGTTTTCTACTTCCTCCTGTGGTCCCAATGACAATGCATTGCAAAGCTAGTACATTATCATAACCAAGACATTGACATCGATACAGTCAAGATAGAGAACATTTCCATTACTGTAAAGATCCTTCATGTTTTTCTTTTATACTATTGTCAACCCTTGGTGGTGGGATAGACCACTGTGCCCCCCAAACAAGCTGTTTTTCCTGGATATTGAGACTGTTGAAGACATGTGTGCAAGCATGTGCATGCAATTATGTGCACCTACCTAATACAGCTTTTGGAAAGAGCAAGACATTTGGGATTAATATATAAGTTAAGTATAGAAATCAAATGTATAATGATATATGACTTAATTCTTTTTCCTGTAATTCCTGATACATGATCAAGAACTGAACAAACAAGACCAAAACAGTTTCTGTGACCTAATTGCCCTTGCTGTTGTTTCAGTACCACATGAGATGTCATGCCCTAGGAGACTGGAGACTGCTGAGGATTAAGTTTAGAGTTAGTTAATGATTGTGTATTAAGTCCCCCACACAGAATTCTATTATCATTTATTTGCTCAATAAATATGAAGGGTGCCCTCTCAGCACCACTCTTGCACTGTTAAGCCTCAAGTCCCCTGGCTGGTCCTTTCAGATCTTCAATATCGCATCGTGTCTCCTCCCTTATCTGCAGATCAGCAGCAGGGACAGACCAACAAGTGGTGCCTGAAAAGGGACCTCAAACTCATAGCAGGGAAGCTCCCGAAGATCGTCGATCCAGTAAGATTCCCGGGAAAGCGTACGTAGGGATAGGGTCAAGATGTCAGGGACACTATAATGGGCCAAACTGAAACTAAAGCATCTGAACTGGAGGATTATTTAAAATTACTCTGTGCCCTCCTAAGAACTTCAGGAGTGAAAACTTCTAAAAACGACTTTGCTCAACCTCACAAATATATTAAAAAATATTGTTACTGGTTACCACCACAGGAACCCTCAGACAAGCTGATTGGACTAATGTATTAAGAATTTCAAATAGGCTCACAGACAGGGAAACATTATCCCTGGACCTGTTTGGGTGGACCAATGGCCTCCCAGTAAAGAAAAACTGGCAGTCTTACACACATTAGTTCCAGAACAGCTTCAATTAGATAGATTAGAATTTTCCACAAGCCCGTGGAATTCCCCTGTATTTGTTATAAAAAAGAAGTCCAGAAAATGGAGACTCTTAGATGACTTAAGACAAATTAATGTAGTCCTTAAACCTATGGGTCCTTTCCAAGAAGGCCTGCCTTCTCCAGCTATGATTCTGAAAGACTGGGACATGGTTATCATTGATCTTAAAGATTGTTTTTTTTTACAATTCCTTTAGCTTTGGCAGATAGGGAAAATTTCACTTTTACTGTACCCTCCTTAAATTTACAAGCTCCTTCAGAAAGATTCCAATAGGAAGTATTTCCTCAAGGAATGTTAAATAGCCTTACAATTTGTCAAATTATGTGCACAGGGCTCTCTTGTCGCCTCCTGGCATGAGCCAGGAGCTCTGTCCCCTCACTTTCTCTCTAAATAAAAGCTGCTCCTACCTTGGGTGTTTGCTAAATTCATTCTTCAACTCTGCAAACAAGAACCCAGCATCATTTTTGGGGGCTTGTCTGGGATAACTTCGGAGGTGAGTATTGGCATCCAACCCTGTCTTTTCTTTCACTGTCCTTATAGAAGGAAGCCATCTGTAGCACACAACATTGGGTGTTCATCAGCCACTTAAATGGTACTGGCCCCGGCTGCCGATCTCAAAGTCTAGAGGGACAGGTTCCCCTGTGTCTCCCTCAGTGGATCCCCTGTCTCCCTTGGGAGCTGGGAAAGTCACCTGAGTGGAGGCCAGGATTCCTCTTCAGAGGCATCTCCTTGGATGCGAGGGACTGAGGAAAGCTGTGGGCAACTGCGAGAGTCTAGGCTGAGGCTACACTTCAGTGACTCCTCAAAGGCCCGCGTGTCTGGAATCAGACCCCGATAGCCCGACTGTGTATCCGTGAGGAGCATCTCTCTGTCTTTGACCTCCAGCCTGCTTCTTCAGGCCACCCTCTTCTAACTTCCTCTCTTCATCAATTTCACGGAACCCATTGCTCATCACCACAAGGTAGGAGATCCACACTTCGCTCTTATTCCTGACTAAATTCTGCACTTTTTATCTCATAAAAATGTGTCTGGGTACCTGTTAGCCACTTAAATGACTATTAGCATCCGCCACCAGTCTTAAGTCTTAGGTGAAAGGTTTTCCAGTGTCTGTCGTTCCTTGATCTCCCACCTCCGGATGCACAGGAATGTCGGGGAGTGGCTGAGCTGATTTGCTACTTTCCTATCCTGATCTGCAGACTCTGAGGGCAGACCGGACTAGTAGACAGTGGTCCTGAGATCTCGGCTCCAGCTGATCCATCCAGTGGCACTGAGTGAACCTCCAGCTAGGCTGCTGCCTATGTGAGAGTTGCAGATGACACCTAACCTCTTGTCTCACAGATCAAATTTTTTACAGTGGGTCACTAGCAGGATAATTCCCAGGCAGTAGGAGAAACTGGTTTTTAAGAGTACAGACCCTGCCCCCAATAAATGTCTGTGGCAGTCTCTGAATTTTATCTATGGCATTGGAAGAGTTCCCCTGCTCCCCATTCAAAGCAGTCCTAGCCACTTTCTCCTGTGTAATGTAAATGATGTCTGGGAAGTAGTCACGCTGAAACCTGACACCAACATGTAAATGGCTCTATTCTGTTGGTCTCCTTTCCTGGCAGTCATCCTGGGGCTATGGCATTTCCTTCCCTGCAGCCTCAGGGAAGCAAAACATGTTTGTGACGCTGACCAAGGCTCTGGCAGCCAGAGGTCACACATTCCCTGCACTTATCAGACAGGCAGCGGGCTCTCAAGGAATGACTGAAGCTCGTGCAGACAAAGCTAGAAAAACTCCCAAAAGGCGTAAAGTAGGAGCACACTGGTAAGGGCCCATTGACTCCAGAGCTCTGAGGTGACTCTTGCTTAGTGGGAAGGCAAGAGGGAAATCAAGACAAAGTGCAGGCCACGCTGGTAAGGAGCGGTTAAATCCAGTTGGCCTGGCAAAAGAGGTGATTGACTGCTGTCACCCATGCTCTAAGGCAAGGGGACACTCACACAGGCTGATCAGGTGTTACACACCTGTCTCTCTCTTCCAGATGGGAGCTTCCTCTTCAAGGTTAAAGGCAGACAGGCCTCTGGCATGTGTGTTGAAGAACTGGGAGAAATTTGATCCCCAGACCCTGACAAAAAGTGCCTTATTTTCTGCTTACAAGCCTGGCCTCAATATAGTCTCGAATTAGAGAGGTTTGACCACTGAGAGAAGTATATAATATAATAACATTATGCAGATAAACATTTTATTGTATTTTATTTTTTGTATCATTAATCTAAAATAACAGCATTATTGTTACTACACACCCCCGATCATCAAGTCCCCACCACATACCCCATTACTGTCACTGTCCATCAGCATAGTAAGATGCTATAGAATCTCTACTTGTATTCTCTGTGTTGTACAGCCCTCCCCCTGCCCCGCCACCTACATTATGTCTGCTAATCATAATGCCCATTTACCCCCTTATCCCTCCCTTCCCACCCATCCTCCCCAGTCCCTTTCCCATTGGTAACTGCTAGTCCATTCTTGGGTTCTGTGAGTCTGCTGCTGTTTTGTTCCTTCAGTTTTTGCTTTGTTCTTACACTCCACATATGAGTGAAATCACTTGCTACTTGTCTTTTTCTGCCTGGCTTATTACCCTGAGCATAATACCCTCTTGCTCCATCCATGTTGTTGCAAATGGTAGGATTTGTTTTCTTATTATGGGTGAAAGTATTCCATTGTGTATATGTGTCACATCTTCTTTATCCATTTGTCAACTGATGGACACTTAGGTTGCTTCCATTTCTTGGCTGTTGTAAATAGTGCTGCGATAAACATAGGGGGGATATGTCTTTTTCAAATTGGGCTGCTGCATTCTTAGGGTAAATTCCTAGAAGTGGAATTTCTGGGTCAAATGGTATTTCTATTTTTAGTTTTTTGATGAACCTCCATACTGCTTTCCACAATGATTGAACTAATTTACATTCTCACCAGCAGTGTAGGAGGGTTCCCCTTTCTCCACAACCTTGCCAACATTTGTTGTTGTTTGTTTTTTGGATGGTGGTGATCCTTACTGGTGTGAGGTGATATTATGGTTTTAATTTGCATTTCCCTGATGATTAGCAATGTGGAGCATCTTTTTATGTGCCTGTTGGCCATTTGAATTTCTTCTTTGGAGAAGTGTTGTTCAGGTCATCTGCCCATTTTTTAATTGCCTTAATTGCTTTTTGTTTGTTGAGGTTCATGAGCTTTTTATATATTTTGGATGTCAACCCTTTATAGGATATGTCATTTATTAATATATTCTTCTATACTGTAGGATGTCTTTTTGTTCTAACTTTGCTGTGCAAAAGGTTTTCAGCTTGATACAGTCCCACTTGTTCATTTTTGCTTTTGTTTCCCTTGCCCGGGGAGATATGTTCATGAAGAAGTTGCTCATGTTTATGTCCAAGTGATTTTTGCCTTTGTTTTTTTCTAAGAGTTTTATGTTTCATGACTTACATTCAGGTCGTTGATCCATTTTGAATTTACTTTTGTGTATGGGGTTAGACAATGATCCAGTTTCATTCTCTTACATGTAGCTATCCAGTTTTGCCAACACCAGCTATTGAAGAGGCTGTCATTTCCCTATTGTATATCCATGGCTCCTTAATTGTGTATTAATTGACCACATATGTTTGGGTTAATATCTGGACTCTCTATTCTGTTTCACTGGTCTATTGGTCTGTTCTTGTGCCAGCACCAAACTGTGGCTTTGTAGTAGAGCTTGAAGTTGGGAAGCAACATCACCCCTGCTTTATTCTTCTCAGCATTGCTTTGGCTATTCGGGGTCTTTTCCAGTTCTATGTGAGTTTTAGAACTATTTGTTCAAGTTCATTGAAGAATGCTGTTGGTATTTTAATATGGATTGCATTGAATCTGTAGATTGCTTTAGGCAGGATGGCTATTTTGACAATATTAATTCTTCCTACCCAAGAGCATGGTATCAATTTCCATTTATTTTCTCTTTAATTTCTCTTAAGTCCTCTTTAATTTCTCTTAAGACTGTCTTGTAGTTTTCAGGGTCTTGGTTAGGTTTATTCCTAGCTATTTTTTATTCTTTTTATGCAACTGTGAATGAATTGTTTTCCTGATTTTCTGCTAGTTCATCGTTAGTGTATAGGAAAGCAACAGATTTTTTTGTTTTAATTTTGTATCCTGCAACTTTGCTGAATTCAGATATTCTAGTAGTTTTTGAGTGGAGTCTTTAGGGTTTTTTATGTACAATATCATGTCATCTGCAAATAGTAACAGTTTAACTTCTTCATTACCAATCTGGATGCCTTGTATTTCTTTGTTTTGTCTGATTGCTGTGGCTAGGACCTCCATTACTATGTTGAATAACAGTGGGGAGAGTGGGCATCCCTGTCTTGTTCCTGATCTAAGGTGAAAAGCTTTCACGTTCTCTCTGTTAAGTATGATGCTGGCTGTGGGTTTGTCATATATGGCCTTTATTATGTTGAGGTACTTGCCCTCTATACCCATTTTGTTGAGAGTTTTTATCATGAATGGATGTTGAATTTTGTCGAATGCTTTTTTAGCATCTGTGAAATGATCATGTGGTTTTTGTCCTCCTTTTTGTTGATGTGGTGAGTGATGTTGA